ATTTTAATGTGTGTGTAATTATTTTGTTTTCTTATTAGCTGCGTTTCCATTGACCATGAAAATGCGCAAATTAGAATTTCAAAACTAAATTTGCTCAATGGAAACASGTCAATTTTGAAAAAATTAAGTTTTTCGACTAAATTTTGCGCTAGGATGAGATTCGGCCGAATCGAAATTGATGTATTTTGCAAAACTGAGATGGAAATACTTTTTTCGGATCACGGGAGTCACGTGATCAAGAACCGACTGTTTCTACTGATGAAAAAAATGACGAAGAAGAAGATACCAGAAAGTAAAAGGAGTAGTGAAATCACGGAAGTAGTAAAAAATATTAAACTCACGACTACATTTTCCCAAAAACACAGCATACGTAGCTGCTCCCAAGTATAAGGGGCTTGTCGCTCGAAAGCCTCGATAAGATGTCGACGTCTCCTGTGATGGCTGATAATGAGCGCTAGTGTCGTGGTAGCAATATGCTATGTGTTTACATCCATTGCTGCCATGTTTGTAATGACTTATCATGAGAACAAATGTGTTCACACGTGACTTTAATAGCATTTCTTACTTAATGTAAACACTGCAGTTGTGAAACTGTTTTTCGACAATAACAGAATATCAACAAAGTTTTGCGCACATTTGCAATGGAAACGCAGCCACTGCTATTTCAATAATTCACCATATTTCTTCTCAGCAACTTGTCTTAAAGGTATTCAAAAAATCCTGATAGATTTGAGAAAAAGATCAGACAGTGAGGCTGAAAGTTAAATAAATGAAGTGGCTAACAAACTACTAGCATGATCTACTAAGCATGTTTCACTTTCTGTATTATCAACACATACTTGCAAACCAATTTTCTGTTGTGGGTATAAAAACACAAAAATCATATAATCTCATGTTAGCTTTGCTCATAACTTCAAAGAACTACTGCAGATAAACCAAAGAGTCACGGTGGCTCAGAGCCACAGGTTGCAGACCTCTGGTTTAGTGGTTAGCACTGTTGCCTCACAGTATGAAAGTCCTGAGTTTGATCCTCGGTTCAGATCCAGGGTTTTTCTGTGTRTTTGCATGTCCTCCTCATGCTTGTTGGGTATACTCCAGGTACTCCAGTTTCCTCCCACAGTTATAAAAACATGCCTATTCGGCTGCCTTCAGACCACTCAGGCCTCCCTTGTAAAGGAGATCTGGTCTCAACTTACCTTCAAATGGTGATAAATAAGAATAACAAATTGTGACACAGTTAGACAACCTGAAGTTCAGATAATGTAAAGGCATGTTTGTCACACACATTAGCATCCCTGGAAGCATGTTCAACAACACACACGCACACACACAAAGTCTAGCTACATGTGCACATGTCAGTTATGTGCACTATGAGCCACAGCAACAGGTGCAGCAGTCACAGAAGCAACAGTATCAGCTGTTGCAGAGGAAAAACTATCAGATGTGCTGCCACCACACACACACACAACACGCAGCATATCCACTAGTGTGCAAGCTGAGTCTTTCTAAATAACTGGGATGACTGGAGAAGCACAAAACACCTCTGTCTCCTGGGCTTAGCTAAAAAGGTTAAAGGTGTGGTGTAATGCAACTCTTGTTTCCTCAAGTCGGGTTTCCCCAGAGTCAGATTTTTTAACCTAATCTAGAATTATGAAATTCTTTTCACAGCTATTTTTGGAGCTCGGCTCAGTCAGCAATGTCTTTGAATGTTTTACTTCTACTTTTCCTTTTCAATCTGTTTGGCTGTGTGACAAAAACATCGCCTCCACGCTGCACATCCAGCTGGTGTCGATGCGAGGATGAGAAATGTGCATTGCAACTGCTGCTACTGAAAAAGGAAGAACTGCAAAAAGGGGTTCCACCTAACACAACACGTCTTTGCGGTTTTGTTTTGAGAACTTCGGTCCAGCACTTGGATTTTCTGACAACTCAAAAAAAAGTGGAACTCTAAAAGCTTAAAGTGGCAARCGAGAACAAAAAATGAGCAAGTGTGTAAAAGAATTGTGTTTTCTGAAGAGTTTGACAAGTTCCCAGTATATTTGTGTGGACAAAGTATTTGTTAATGTCTATAAAAGGATAAAAATAACAGAAAATCAAAAGTCATAACACCCATCAGCTGAAGGAGCCGAACATTTTAATGTATGAACGGCTAAAAGAGCATGAAGTATGCAAAAATGCACAGAAGAATACCGAAAAGAAAAACAAGTGTAGGGTCACCTCGAGTGAAGAAACAAGATTTACTGCCTCGAAGCAGGCCTCGGACAGGCCTGACGAGAGGACAGGAACTCTGTCACAAACTGAACTCTATTTAGGGCATGACAGGTCATTTTAACCGTGGAAGAGAACCTCTCAGTTCTTTTAATMAGATAATGGACAGAACAATCTCTTCTGTTCGTGATTCATTTGTTGTTTAACTAAGAATGTTTATGCATTTGTTAAAACATGATAATGACTGTGGAACCATTTCTTTTCTTTTATMGTGCCTTAAAGATTTATAACGGTATAAAAAAATCACAGAGAATCTGATTACAATGTTTTGATTGTGTTTTTATGTAAATCACTGTTTTTATTTTACTGTGAACACAGTAATATAATTGTGGATTTTTCCTGAAAAAATCTTTCATTTATCTGGACTAACAGAAGATTCCGAACTGATTATAAAACAGAAACGTTAATTAATAATCATAAATGTTTTGCAGTGATTTCTCTTAGAGTCTGTCAGAAGAAAGCTGAAAAGAGGTTATCACATCCTGTTATGAACAACCACAGAATTTTAACCTTGGGCTGGCGCCGGCTGGGAAATCTTTATCTTTCTTTCTCTGACTCATCTCTAAGCCTGAGGACGGAACCAAAGTTCGTCCGTTTCTTTTACTAACCCGGAAGGCTTTGAGCAACACACTCTTCTTCCTGATTCCAACCTAGGAAGACAGCTGGGATTCTCTCTGGAAAAACCTCAGTTTGGCTTAAAGTCTGATCCCATGAGCTAACTAGGGAAGACTTCACAGCCAGGGACCCGGCACGCCTGCCGGTGGTCTCACCCCAAGGCTGAGCCTCTGAGTGTGTTTTTAACTCCCGAGGGGAGATTTTATTTTGGAAAGAGGAACTGGATACGGCTTGAATTTTTCTGGCTTGGACTGAAACAGACGAAAGTTACCTGGAAAACATCTGTTCGCCAATGATCAGTAAGCGAGCCGACATCAGTTCCCTGACTGATCGGAGGCGAGCCAGCTCCTACCCYGAGRGTGCCTTAAGAAGTCATCATCAGGTAAAAGCTGATGTGTTCGGAGTGACGTGTCATGTGGAACCTGAGCTTAGAAAAGGCGTGCAGTTCCGGTTGACCCACACTTTGATAAAAGTAAAAGTAGTAGTAACATACTAATCTTACTTTCCTCCAAGTAATCTGAGTTGATGTGAATTGAAATTYGGACGCAGGTTTTATCTCATTTAACTCGGACACTTGTCATAGGAAAACCACAATCAAGTGTGACTTATGATCTGTGCAATTTGTGTAAATAAATGATTGCATAGTCTTCTATGAATCAACTTGAACTCATCTGAATGTTCACTTATTGTGTCACTTTTCACTTCGCACAGTCAAGATATTAACAAGTAATGAGAAATACCTTGGTAAAAGTTTCCTCATAACCTTGTGTATGAGAGATGTGGGAAAAGCTTAATTCACTTTAAGCTCACCTCCTACACAACAAATGTTGAAACTTGCTTTTATCAGACATAGACAGAAATAAAAAAAAAGTTTTAACCTGATTTCTCTGCTTTCTAACTGACAAACACTCTCTGCAACGAAAAAACACACAACATATTTTAACCGTTTTAAACTTTGTTCTTTTACTTCTGAACATACACCACGACTCATGAATAAATATTTACAGCACTGAAATGACATTCATTTGACTCTGATGGAGGTAGAAAATCACATTTCAACAAATGAAGCTGCAGTTCTGCTTCATAAACTCTTAAGCTGGACACACAATCACAGTTCTATCACTATTTATAGGACACGTTTGAAAAKAAATCCTAATTGTAACATATGTTGAATGTGTCAGAGATTAAACAAAACCCCAAATCTGGTCAAGTAAAACAGACAACAAGATGACAGCACCTTCGTGGGATACATGTGAGACGTTGCATGGACTCATGATTTGAACAGTTATTAATCACAATAACCACAACAACATTAAACATTCAGGCTTTTAAAGATTATATTTATAGTTCAAAACCATCAAAATCCTTTTCATCTACTGTAATAAAAAAAATCAGAAAGATTGTTTTCAAATTCATGTGGCGAACTCATCTTATTTTTTATAAAACAGTCAGAAAAGGTATGATAACAACAATGTAATTTACATTTAAGCTAAGTTTCTGCTCAGGTTAAGCATTTATTTCCAAGTAAACAGTTATGTAAACTATCGCAACAGTTGTGAGAAGTAAATGTAACAGTTCTCGAAGCAGCAGACGCCACTGCTCGATGCGGATTCCCTCCCGCTCTGTTTGACAGATCGCGGTGTCGGAGAGCCAAAGCAGACAGGACAAAAGGAAAGTGCAGGTTCGTGGAGGTGAGAGATAATTCCAGGGAAAGTGCCGTAGAGGAAAAGGAACATGGGTAGGAAATAAAAGACCCATCTGATAGTCACAAGCTTGGGTCTCAGATGTTTATCTCATGCTCAAATACATCGCAGTTAAAGGTTCTGAGGTTTTATCAGGAAGTGATTTAAAACAGGAGAACTGTTCTTCATAAAGTTATCATAATTCAGCCCCGAGTGAGACCATGCTCTACCAAAATAAGGCTTCAGGGTGCAAAAAGTTCAATTTGTTTGCCAATGAAATTTAAAAAGAACTGTTATTAGTAAGGCTATTAAATATCTGAAAACCTGCTGTTTCCTGTGGTGTTAATCACAGATGTGGACACCGGGATCATCTAAGATCCATCCATCTGTTTTCTAGCAGTGGTAAAATCAAACAGGGGCTTCCAGGTGGGCCTGGATGAATACTGGTGGGCCACAATTTTGTATAAATGAAAACTGGACTAACATTTGCATCTATGTTGATCTGTTAACTTCCAGCCTGCWTAACAGCAGTAGCAGAAACTTGTGACCATTACAATACAAAATATCACCAGGTGTACACCAAGGAATCTAATTTTAAAACATCTTGGAAAAAAAATTAAAGTGAAACAAAGATCACGTTTCTTGATTTAGCAACTTAAAGTTTTTAAATCTAAGAGTCTAGATTAATGGATGAATTTAGACTGAACAGTCTGTCACTAAAACAGACTTTTTCAAGGTTATTTAATTGGTAACATTGAACATTATTTTATTCTTTAGGAAATTAGGAGACAAAAAGAAAGAAATAATGAAACAGAGTATTTGATGGAGTGGGTTTAGTAAAAAAAAAAAGTGGGTGGGACCAGACCACGCAGGGCCCACCCACAGCCACGCCATTTGCTTAAAATTTGAAATATTTTTTTGTCAAAGCTGGGCTTCAAAACGCAGCAGTTTCTAATAAATTCTGAAGATTTTTTTTGAGCTATTGAAAAATCTAGTTTTGTGGAAACATTTCTGTGAAAATATAATTTATTTAACGATGCGAGCAGAGTTTTATTTTTTTCTGAATAAGTTATCTAGAGAAGCCAAGATATTTTTGATCAAAGTGGATGAAAGTGATTCTTATACAAAAAAAATAATTTCTGATGTGAATAACTTACATTGCAACCAGTTGTGTTTTCAGTACTCTGTGGTTAAAACACAAAATGGCTAGATTTTTTTTAATTTTCCAAAATTGAAATATGTTTTATAGTCTCTTGGCAAATTATTTATCTGGTGAAAMAAACACAGAACAAGAAAGTGTTCAATAAATTATGAGACAGTAAAATTGGTGCTTTGTGGGAAAAACTGCATTTTCTTCCCGGCTTGACTGTGTAGATTTGAACCAACAACAAATGCAGCATTTTGTTCTTTTCAAGGAGCTAAAGGTCTCACATTCTTTAGGAATCTTATGAAACACTGCTTTTTCTGCTAGAGTTTAAAGTAAGATCATTTTATGATGAGAAGGGACACATTTAATGATTAGATTAGATTAGATTAGATTAGACCTTTATTGTCATTGTACAGAGCACAATGAAATTATGATCAAATTTTTAAAATTACGTTGTGCGCAATCTCATACTCTTGGAGTATAATTTGAAAACGACTCTCAGCTACTACCACACCAAGGTTAAGCTTAGCTGTAAAATTGAGCCATTTGTGTGTTTGCTTTTATTTTGAGATTGTAATCTTTACTCTAATAATTCAACCATCAGCTGTTTGAGGGATTTTAAACAGGTACTMAGCAATTCTTCTAGCTCTCATTTAAAGATGAAAGATAACATTGATTTGAATACAGTGCTGATATAGCTGCTTGTGCAACCCAGTCTAATACAAAAAAGGTGCAAATGATCCATTAWCCCAACTGAAAATATTAAAAAGTGGGCCTTTTATTTTAAAATCCAAGTTCTACGAAGGTAAAGTGTCTTTGTCTGCACAGGTATAAATACTCATAACTCTGTTGGAGCTAAAAACTTGTGGTTTCAGAAGTCACATAGAAGACATTCACAAAAAAGTTGGTACCATTAGGTTAGGGTTTTTTTTTTTATTTTCCCAGAACTTTTGTCTCAGTTCTTATTCTTTTTCTGTTTTCTAAGATTATTTATTTCAGTTTTATTCTTCAACTGACAATATCAAATTCAATTATTATCATTTCTATTTGTTTGGTTTGGTTTAGGAAACAATACTCAAGTTAAAAAAGGGTAACTTTCATTCAAACGKACATAAAAACACAAAATTCTAACAAAAAAATTCTCTAAAAAGACCGTAAAGTATCCAAATGTGAGTAACCCTTGTTAAAGATGTTTCCCAGTTTGTGCTGTGGATAAACTTAKCTATTCCACACTTAATCTGAAACTAGTCTGGCCCTTGTTTGTTTAGTAAGAGTTAAGAAAAAAACAATAATCCAGTGGTAAAAAACAGAGTCCACAAATGAAATACAGTAAAAACCCACAGTAACACTGACATGTTATCTTTGCTTCAGAAATGAGCAAAAACCAAGACCTTTGAGTTGGACTATTTGGTTGTTGATGTGCTCTCAAGTCAAGCTCTAACAACTTTTTTTTGTACAGTATTTGGTCAAGCAATTGAAGCGAGATCCTCCTTACAAGTCTTACTGCTGGAGCTCTTGGTCTGCCAGCTGGACAGGGAACCCGGAGCCACGTCTAGAACTTGCTCAGAATCAGTTGTCTGCAGAGCAAGTGTTGGTGAGCTGTCCTGAACTGAGCTCTCCAGTGTGTCCTTCCACCTCGATGTTTGCCGGCTGTCCAGCGCCCTGGCACTGTCCACATCCGAGCTCCCAGTCTGCCTGTGCAGGGACTTGGAGAAGTGATTTTTCACATCGCACCAGCCGCACGCTGCCCTCCTTCTCCAGCGTCCTCCCTTGCCCCTTAAATGAAGTATCTCCTGGAAGGCGTGTCGGAAATCGGGGCTGCGGCAGTAGATGAGCGGGTTGAAGGCTGAATTAGAGTACCCGATCCAGTTAAGGATTTCTAAAACCTTATTGTCTCCAATATCCATTAGAGAAACTATGATATTGAGGATGAAAAAGGGCAGCCAGCAGAATGTGAAAGTACCCATGATGATTCCGAGAGTTTTTAAAGCTTTTTGCTCTTTAAGACAAAACTTAAGACGCTTCGTTGTTGACTGCTTTCCTCCCCCTTTTTGTGTCCTCGTTTTGTTTTTGCCCTCCTCTCGATCATCTGGTTGCTGCATGTTTAAACTGTCCTCCCCTGCTGGTTCCTCCACATCGGATCTTGCCCTGTGTTTATTCAGTGCGGGGCTGTCATCCGGGGAAGTTCGCTGTGCCGAGTTGTGCAGATTGTAAAGGTGTCTCTCCCTGCCCCTGATCTTCTCCAGCTGTTTCTGAGCCTCCTGGAAAACGCGGCTGTAGAGGAAAATCATCAGAAACAGAGGCAGGTAGAAGGACACAACTGAAGATGTCACTGCGTACTGCGGGTTGGTGTGGAATTCGCAGCAGTTCTCGTCTTTTAAGCACGCGTCTGCACGTGGGTCCTCCTTCACCCATATGTTCAGAAAAATGGGCAGGAAGGAGATGAGGGAGGCTACTGTCCAAACAGCAAGAACCACTATGATTGCCCGGAACCTGTACAGCACCAGGAGAAAAGAAGAATTCCATGAGTGTGGAGATCAATGACAGTTGTTTATAATACGTGCTGACTGTGCAAAAGTGTAAAGAGCCAGAAATATATGTTTACAATCACATGAGACTGTGTGTATCAAATCAAAATGAAAGGCAGTGGTGGGGTATAATCATTGGAGTCCAACTGGCAACTCAAAACTGCAAGAAATTAGGCACAGTTTTGTTAGTCTAAATAAATTTTGTTTGTTAGCAACCAACTGACCGGCTAGCTGTTCTGCCACATTATGAACAGCTGGTTTGAAAAGATCACAGAATGCATGTATACGACCTGTAAAACCGCATGTATTGTTTTGTTTTAAATACCTCAGCACACATCGTACCCACCTTGGCTCACTTTAGCCCCTTTACCATCAAATCTCACTCTAATTTGTTCATGTCTGTTCAGTTCTGCTCAATAGGCCTATAGCTGTGTCTCCGTTCAGGGGCTGCAGCCTACCTAGCCCACGGCCCATGCTGGGACATGTATTCACACATCTTTTCACTGGAGGAATCACTTCACAATTAAAATCGTTACACGTAAATATCGTAAAAGGCACAGTGTGTGGGATTTGTTGTTTTCAGCGACATCTAGTGGTTGAGTGGTTGAATCATCCTCCCTGGTCCTC